TCTCTCTCTCTCTCTCTCTCTCTCTCTCTCCACTTTGATTCTTTTAATTATTTTTTTTACTTTTGCTTTTTCTGTCCTTCTCTGCCATAATTTATTAGTTTTCTTGTTGAATTATACTTAGCGTTTAAAACACGTAGAAATTGGAGAATAAAAAAGGCGACGGGTGCGTAGCCACGTCGCTACGGCATTGCAGTAACGTGAGGATACGGGGCTATTTTATTTTACAAAAATTTTCAACATCCAATTAAAATTCACTTGCATTTTGAATTTACTTGTGTATTTTTCTAAATTTTTCGATATAATTTTCTTTAACACGCAGCCATGTATCCAACGTGTTTTACGAACTGATGCAGTTGCGACATATTTCTTACAATATTCACATAAAAACGTTTGTTTGTTTGTTTGTTTTTTTTTTTTTTAAATCGTAGATACTAAACAGTCGTGTCGAAAAATAATATCGAGACGGCCTCTCGTTCATTATCCCTTTCATTCTCTTTCTCTCTCTTTCTCTTTCTATTTTATCAATCATTCTATTCCTTTCTCTCCTTCTCTCTCTCTCTCTTTCTCTTTCTCTTTCTCTCTTTATCTGTCATTTTCTTACACATACTTTTTATTAACAATCACACCTATACTGTCCTTTTCTCATTAACATATTTGATTCGTCATCTTCCATCGAGGTCGTTCGTGGTAAAGCAGCACCGTGGCTTTCATTATCTTGTTTTTTTTTTTTTTTTTTTTTTTTTTATACACATTTATATTATTTAATTAATCATATATAATAATAATAATAATAAAATCGATTCGAGATATGAGAAACATTTACAACGTTCGATAAGGGATCATCTTCTCTATTTCTTTCTTTATCTTTATCTTTCTCTCTAGTATCATTTTTATGTTATTCTATTTTCTTTTATTTTTTTTTTCGGTATCCCCTCGTCTTTCTCTTTCTTCCTCTATCTTTCTTTCTTTGTAACAGTCTCGATAAAGTTCTGTAAAGTCGATAAAAAGTATTCGCGATCGTTCTACGCGAGTAAGGAAAGAACAAACATTGGCGCCTTAATATAAATCTCATTACGATATTAACCACCCCCACCCCTCCCTCCCACCTCCGCCCCGTAATTTATTGTATTATAATTATTAGATCGACCCAAAAGTTTTTTACCGAGGATAAGAAACAAAAGAGTTTTATTTTCTTAGTAAATTTTACGTGCACGACATTTAATGAAATATTTGTATTGAATTATTATTTTATTGAATATTATATACGATTCATTTTTAGTTAGATAATCTTTCGTATATAATTTAGTAAACTAATGTGAAATAAAAAGATATTGTGCATGTAAAATTTGCTATGAAAAAAATTGAAATTAAATAAAGTATAAAAAACTTTTCTCGAGAAGATCTAATTAATATTATTTTAATTGCGGATTTTCTAATTTTTAAAATGAATGATAAATGCTACGAAAAATTGTAATCATTGAAATACGTGTTAC